GGGAGGAAATAATGAGGATTTTAGAAGAAACTTCAGGGATCTCATTGATACCCACAGGCCATGCATGGTAACACTGCTTGAAACTAGAATGCAATCTCATGCACCTCTCTTGCAAGAGTTTGGTTTTTCTGAACTCATTGAGGTACCAGCAGATGGACAAGTTGGTGGCATGGGGCTCCTATGGGACCATACCAAGGTGACTGTCCACAATGCTGTACCTAGAAACCACGAAATTCATGCTACAATTGAGGTGCGTCCTACTAACCTAAAATGGCTTTTTTCTTCTTTATATGCTAGCACTGACATTGTTGATAGGGATATTATGTGGCATAATCTGAAAAATATAGCTGACTCTTATACAGATGCATGTCTAGTATGAGGAAATTTTAATGATGTGTTTAGTGCTAATGATAAAATTGGTGGGAGACCTCTTAATCGTAGACGTGCTTTTAAGCTATGGGATAACTTGAATTACTGTAAATTACAAGATTTAGGCTATAAATGATGCAAATATACTTGGTCTAATCGTAGGTTTAGTAATAATGACCTAATCTTGGAACGTTTGGATAGAACTTTTGGAAACAATGAATGGATACAGTGCTTTCCAAACGCTTCTATTACTCACTTACCTAAGACACACTCTGATCATAACCCGCTTCTAATCAACCTTATCCCTAAAAAGTGTCACTTACTTGATAAACCATTCCGACTAGAACCATACCGGTGCAAACATCCTCTCTTTAAGACTTTAGTTAATGACTCGTGGTGTAACAATTCTTATAACAAGGTTGTGTCTATTTTTAAAGAGGTTGTTGTTAGCTGGAAAAACATTACCTTTGGGGATCTTTTTTAAAATAAGAGAATCATCCTTGCAAGACTCAAAGGTATCCAAAACTCCCTTTCCTATTACCATAGTAAATTTCTTCAAACATTAGAACAATCGTTAATTCAAGAATATAATAACATCCTTCGGATTGAGGAAGACTACTGGAAGTTACGTTCTAGAGTACATTGGTTAAACGAAGGTGACGCAAACACAAAATTTTTCCATATCGTAGCTACCAATAGGAAAAGAATTAATAAGATTAATTTCTTCAAAAATGATCTAGGGATGTGGATTGACAATCCTGAGGATATTATAAATCACACAAAAGACTATTTTGAAAAAGCTTTTACAACTTCCCACACTAGTAGCAATTGGAGTCTTATTAAAAAGGACCCTAAGTGTTTTATTAACTTGGATTTATCCTCCCTTGATGACCCCGTTACCCATGCTGAAATTACTAAAGCCTGCTTCTCATTTAAACCATATAAGGCACCCGGGCCTGATGGTCTTCACCCCTTTTCTTTCAAAATAATTGGAATATTGTGGAAAATTCTGTTACCAGTCTATGCCAAGAAGCTTTTAAGACTGGAATTATCCCTGGCAATATTAATGATACGTTGCTCTGCCTAATTCCAAAAATTCCTAATGCAAATAACTTAAAATTTTTTAGACCTATTGATCTTTGTAATACTGTGTATAAAATAATCACTAAGGTTATCTCCACTAGGCTGAAACCCTTCCTTAATCATTTGATTAGCCCTTCCCAAAGTAGCTTTCTAAAAAATAGGAAAGCAAGTGATAATGCCCTTATCATTCAAGAATTAATTCTCAAAATGAATAAATATCGTGGTAATAAACATAACATGATTTTGAAAATTGACTTGGAAAAAGCCTTTGATCGTTTAGAATGGTCCTTTGTCTATATAGCTTTAAGATTCTTCAAATTCCATCCTAATATGACAAAGCTTATAATGAATTGTGTCACCACTAGTAGAATATCAATCTTGGTTAATGGTACAAGAACTAGCTATTTCTCGCCAAGTAGAGGCATTCGCCAAGGTAACCCTATGTCTCCATATCTTTTTATCCTTTGTATGGAGATGCTCTCTATCCTTATTAACCATAAAGTTGATATAGGATGTTGGGATCCAATCACTATTGGCAACAATAAGCTCCATAGATCTCATTTTTTTTTTTTTGCAGACGATCTAACCTTAATGGCTAAAATTAATAACAAATCTATTGAAGCCATTAAGGACTGTCTTAACTCCTTCTGTCTCCTATCAGGGCAGTCCATTAACAAAACTAAGTCTAAAATCATCATATCCAAACACTGCCCCAAATCTACACAAGCTACCCTCTCACAAAACCTTAATATCAAAGTTAGCAATTCCTTCGGTAAGTACTTAGATTTTCCTATTACAAGCTCCAAACCTAGGGCCAAGGATTTTCAATTTGTCCTAGACAATATGATTTCTAGAAACATGGAAATCAAACTTACTAAGCATGGCTGGTAGATGCACCCTAGCAAGCTCATGTCTAAACTCTCTTTCAAACCACTTAATGCAATACACCCTCCTACCGGCTAAGATTCTTAGTAAAATTGACAAGATCCAAAGGGATTTTATATGGGGTACAAATGGAACATCAAAAAAACTCCATCTCATTAAATGGGAAGATATCACCCAAAACAAAAAGGATGGTGGGTTAGGTATTCGAGCTGCAAAAAAGAACAACCTAGTAAGCCTAGCCAACCTTACTTGGAGACTCCTCCAAAATACTCAATCCCCTTGGGCTAAAACATTAATAGGTCTCTATGGTACAAGGAAAACTTTGAATAATAATTCCTTTATATGGAATGGTATTGTTCTAGGTAGGGAAATATGTAGCAAAGGGATTACTTGGATGCCACACAAGTCCTCAACCTTGAGTGTGTGGAATAATCGTTGGATTCCCAAATTCAACTCTCTCCGTCAATATATTCAGGGTCCCTTAACCCAACAAGATGAAGCACTTACCGTAAAGGATATATGGAATCA